ACACACACACACACACACACACACACACACACTTAACTGAAACAACAGATAAAAACATTCTTATAAAAAGTTAAAGTATCATGATAGACAAAAGTTCCTCTAATGACCAATGCCAATTTCAGTGCCTGCTGTAGAAGTCAGGTGTGTATCTTTCTAGATTTTTTTTCCTAAGCGCTCTAACAAATATTGATGTACTCAAAGTATAGAAAAAATACTTTAACAAAAATGGTATCACATTATATTCTGCAACTTGCTTTCCTTATTCAAATATCAGAAGAGTTCTTCCCATGGCAACATATGCAAGGATTAGGTATGGGTGGGGCATGAGATCTATGTATGACATGAAGGATGGATGAGAAGTAGAGTGGGAAGGCTGGGGGGAAAGAAAGAAATCCTGACAGTTGGACTAGCAAGGATCAAAGCCAGAAAGCACTGTTTCATAGCTGAACACAGTTCATATAGCTAGGGTACCACAGAAACATGTCAAGAGCTAAGAAAAGATATGTATATAGCTAATATATACTAAATCTACACATACATAGTTAAAAATTAGAAAAATATACGCAAAATATTCATAGTGCTTTTCTCTGGATGGTACAATTACAAAATAATTTGTTTGCCCCCCATGCCCATTCCCCATCTACCTCCCCTCTAGCAACCATCAGTTTGTTTTCTGTATTTAAGAGTCTCATTTTTGTTTACAAAATAAGTTTTGTTTTGTGTGTGTACACACATGCATGCTTTTCTGCATCTAATTCTCTACCATGAATACGCTTCATTTATATGCTGGTCATGACTCCTTTTCAATTTAAGAGAATAAAAATCAAGAAAAAGTAAGAAAAGGTAAAGACTGTCATGTCCCTAGCTCTCATTCCTCCTTGGGGCAGAAAAATTAATGGAAAGGCAAATTTCAATGTAACTTACTGTCACACATTTGAACTACTTGCCTGGTAGGTGCCATACTAGAACCTAAAGTGATTTGTAAGTTACCTGAATCAAAAGCAGTATTATCTTCCTAATGAAATATACACCTGTTTAAATTTATTCCACCCAAATCCAACCATGCCAGAAATAACATGAACAAATTTATTTCACTGCATACCTACAACTGTGCATCACAGCGGCATAAAAATCTTAAAACACAAGATGGCACTGTTACTTTATGAAAGTCTAAAAAACATTTTCAGAGGGGAGACGGAGGATAAGCACCTTGGACATCATCTAATCCAAAACCCCTCATTTTCCTCTGAGGAAACAGCACGCAGAAAGATTTCCAAAGGCCATACAGCTGGTTTAGAAGCAGAGTGGGACCAAGGACAACACAGAGCGCTCCTTCTATCCAGGCACCTAAATCAGAATAAAAGTTGGAGCAGATGGGAGCTGGAGTTAATGATGTTATGTACTAGTTACTGGAAGAGTGGAATTTTATACTAAACCGTTTAAGCTTCTAAAATCTAATCCAAGCATTTCACTTTTGTCCTCAAGCTCCACTTTAATGTTACACAGTAACTATGTTTCCTTTCCAGGGCACAAGGTGGGAAATTCACTGGATTCTTTTCCCAGCCACTAATAGTTTCCCCGTGGCACTAGGCACTGTGGTTTCTACAGCCCAAGTGCTGGAGACAGAATGGCAACAATTAAACCTAATAAAAGCATATATGTAAGATGAAAACAGCACTTAACTTCATAAATATATTGTCAGTAAAACTAGAGTCCTGTCAATGAAGTCATGCAGCAAAATCAACTCTGAAGAGGAATCTTAAGAGCTGGGTACCAGTCCTGGGTTGGTATCAAACTTTCAGTATGTCACTGACAATTTTGAAAAATGAAGAAATTGAACTAGAACTCATTCTGGCTCTCAAATTTCCTATTTTTGGAACCCAGTTCTCCTGAGTTCTACTTGGGGCTCTTTCCAGCATACCAAAGAGCTTCTTCCATTCAAGTCTGCTGAATTAAATAAAATACTCCCCTTTTTTTCTCAATTAAAAATAAGAGATTTGTCCTACGATACTCCAATAATAAATATTTATAAATTTTTGTCATGTTTTTCTAAAAGAGAGTTGTATCTCTCCCAAAGACAAACACCATTCTTTTTATTCCTTGGTGCCTTTGTCTAAACAAAAAAAAAAAAAAAAAAAG